TAATAATATATAAAATATTTAATAATATATAAAAATTATATAAAAAATTATGATTACATCACTATTCTAAAAAAGAACTTCATCTATCCCGAAAAAATTATCCTTTTTTAATTTTAAATTTATTTTTAATTAATTATTTTTTTTTACTTTTGAGATAAACAAACATTTTTAACTTTAATTTTCTTATTATCTATTCATTTTATTTTTTGATATTAATTTATCAATATCTGATAATCATATTAGATTTCGATTAATTTAGAATCGAGTTATGTTAGATTTCATTAAGAGAAAAGCTCTCTTGACTCCCATCATCCATTTCTCTATTTACAAAACTCGAACTAGAGATATTAAAAGAATCAAATTTTTTTTACTTGAATTAACAAATCGTTAGTATCTATTCATTTTAATTAACCATCAATAAAAAAATTTTATTTTTATTTTTATTAAAATTATTATAAATAACTATAAATATTAATTTTAAAATTTTAATTTAATAAAAAAATAAAAAAATAATTATTTTAAAATAAAAGAAATAATAGATAAACATCTGTTAAGTCAAACTTCTAAAAATACAAAAAGCACAGTAAATGCGCAGTTTCTAATCTGTCATGATCACGTCTTAAATGCTTGGCATTACATTTGACCTAGCTTCTAATCAGTCATAATCATGTCTCGTAAGCTTGCCTCTCCCCCTTCCCCCTTTATTAACCTACCCGTTTCCATTCTAACTCAGCCGAGGACTTACAGAACAGATTTCTTCATTTGCAGCATACAGCTACAGGTAACACCTGTTAATTGAGTTTCTATTACAGGCATGTCAATCTTTTGTTTCAGTCGTCTCTTATGGTATGTTTGTGTTTTGGAATTTTACATGCCTGTGTTTCAAGTAGGAATAATTTCAGAATTCATCATCAAGTCTTAAAATTTCTTTGGATTTACTTAGAAGAACATCGATGTTATATATTTATATTTTTTGTTCCTTGTTCCTTTGGAGAACTTAAAACCACTTATAACAGATTATTGGCATACTTGATAACATGATTTCAATTATATAACTTATCACATGGAAAAATTAGAAACTAATACTACTTGTGTGAGTTTGTTATATAGCTATTCACTAGTTTAATTAGTTTATCATTTTTTTTCCTTGTTTTAAATTTATTTTTTGTTGAGAGTGTAATCTTGTTTAACTTGTTTAGTTTCATAAAAATGAAAAAAGATAATATTTTTTTTTATTTTTCTCCCTCTTCCTTTCCTTTTTTAGACATACTAAATGAAAAAAAAAAACTTAAAGGGGAATCTCTTCTTTACCCTCTATTTTTTTTTTAATCTAAATAAAGAAATTTCTTGCCCTTCCCTCCTCTCCCCTTCTCTTAGACCAGACAGTCTATTAAAATCAATTATAAGTTTTTAAATAAGTCTGACCAATTTTTTTTTTTTAAAGAAAGACTTATAAAATATTATATATATATATATAGATAAAAGCTGAACTATTATATAATTTGTTGTGAATGATCTAAGATGTGAATTTGTAATTTGTTACATAGATATGTTGTTAAATATAAAGCCATTATTCGCAAGCATTAATGTTAATATTTTAATAAATAAATGAACAAGTAGCCGTAGATATGATAGTAATTATATTTAAGACATACTAGATGTGATCTTATTAGAGTTACGTGATAAAAACCATTTTTATCAGTTAATTAAGCCACTTTTTAATTCTCTTAAAATTTTCATAGTAATAAAAAAATTATTAACTTGGGACTACTAGGAAAGTTTGAGTTTTGGGTTTATCTTACTTGTTTCTTAAAGAATTTTGATTTTGGGCATTTTTTGAATATTAGCCTAAAAAAATTTATCTAATTAACTTGAAAAAAATTAGGAAAGTTTGAGTTTCGGCCTTATTTTGATTGGGCCTTAAGGAGTATTAATTTTAAATGAAGATTAATCTATCCTACTTGAGCCTTAAGAGTATTAATAATTTTGATTTTTTTAAAAGGTTTTAATATTGTAAATATTATATATATATATATTTTATGAAATGTAAATTTTATAATTAGTTAAAGATTACCGAGTACTTCATAAAATACTTGAGAAAACATACTATTATATATAGAAATATTTTTTAAATTGTCCTATATTTAAAAACATTTGTTCTAATGATTTAGTTACAATATTATAAAATATTATAAATTTATAATATAATGTATTAATATTTAATTAATTTTTCAACAATTT